TTGTCTTTGCATGTAGCTATAAATAAACAAATAAATATACAAAAAAAAAAAAGCCCTAATATTTGAATTTTTGGGCGAATACTAAAAAAAAGGACTTTTTTTTCTAGTGACTCGCTCCGAGGGAGGGAGGGAGTGAGCGAGTGAGTGTGTACTCGAGTGTGCATGTGTACCTACACTCCGCTCTCATACACCCTTTCTTTGTAGTATTGCTCTTAATTATTATTATGATTAATATCAATGTTGTCAATGTTTGTTAATAATTATGTAATTATATAAACATTATTTTGTGTTTTACATATTTTTTTACATTTTCATGGTAACGTTTATTTTTTATTTTTATTTTTATTTAGAATTTTACTCGTGGGGGAAAAAAAAATCACAAGATTCCAACTGAAAGGAAGAAAAAAAGAAATCTGGAAATAAATTTTTTTTTTCCTAAAGCTGTGTTTAATTGGTAGTTTTTCTTTCTTTTTTCTTTAAATATGGGTTTATAATCTTTATCCAATATGTGGTAAAAAGTAAAGTCTGAAGTAAGGCTGTAAGTTTTCATGGTGAGCTCCGTCATTTGTGCATTAACTTCGAGAGCGGAATATAAACCCAGACGTTTATATCAAAATAAGAGATCAAGAACAGGAAGTAACTTTAAGCAGACGTTCCATAACGTTAAACATAACTAGAAACGGATAAAATTGTATGACGTATCATTCTTTAATTAATTTAAACAAAAAACATTGCTGTGGTATAAGAGAAATAAAACACTTTGGCGCTTTGGGGTGGTAACAGTAACTTTAATCTGGCTGCATCACGCCACCACATATTTCATTATTTTCCAATCACAGCACACCCTCAAGTGATTTATTCTGCACTTAAAGGCCAGATAAAGTCTAGCTGTATACCCAAAACCACACCCTATTACTCTGTTGTCATGTTGAAGCCTAGTGGACCTTATCTATTTTATTATAATTATTTTTTTAAGTTTGCATCAAAGGTAGTGCATTGAATTTCTTATATTACATATTTTCTAGCTAATTTCCCCTGTGATAACAGAAACATAAAACATATTATTGGTAGTTACCACCTACGACCACTAGGTGTCAACAAAACGGCATTTTTGCCTCATGCTGAATGCTAAATGCTGGTTTAAAAGTACTGGAATAACAAAGTAGTAAAACATTCAAGTATATAAAATTTAAACAGCACATATGAAGATATAGAATGATAATTAATTATCAATAATTGATTAATTATTATTAAAGTAGCTAAGACAAAAAAAACGAGTTTACTGCCACTTAAAACCACTTCAAAAACTTTTTAAACTGCGTTTAAGAAAACGTTTGTTTGTTTTTTCACTCAAAGCTAAAAAAGGATCAAGTAATTAGGGGAAAAGTGGACAAAACATGAAAGCGGTGTGACATAATCCTGAAGACTCTAACACACAGGTATACGCGGTGCTACTGTAGTGTTAGAAGTAAACACGGTACAAAGTACGCCATTTCAGCCACTACTTAAGTTGCCATGACGACGCGCCTCCTACTTATCCACCTGCAGGCGCTTCGTTTTCCACAGCCCCGCCCCATTTCCTCAGGCCCCGCCCCTCCCCGCGCAAGTCCGTGCGCTCACCATGGCTACGTCTACAACCGTGACCTAAGCCCCGCCCTATTTCATACGGCCCCGCCCCTCCCTGCGCAAGTCCGTGCGCTCACCATGGCTACGTCTACAACCGCGACCTAGTGCCACTCAGGATTATCCGATAGCGCCAGGTGGCGTGTTATTTTAACACCCTATTTAGTTTCGCGCGGAACTATGCGGTTTTGGACGCGGCCCAAGTCAGACCGGCGGGGCTTGAACTACAGAGAGACGAGCAGGATATCGCTCATAAACAAGTCGGCGTGTCAGACGGGTTCATGTACAGGTACAGGTACAGTTCAGGTAAGTCCTGGGTTCTTTTTCTGTGTTTACTTTAGTTTATTGAAAACATTTATTATACTAAATAAACTCAACTCGTCTGTTTGGTTATGTTTATCAGGCTATAACACTCAACAGGCGACAGCTTAAAGGTGTCACTTAGTTCATTTTTCTTCTTAAACTTCATTAATCAAGAATAATTCAATTAAAAGCTCTAATTATTGAGATAATAGCGCGACTAGGACAATAATAGACCTTATAGGTTACTTGAAATACATTTATTTATTTATTTTTTTAGCTTTTTTGAGTCGTACTAATCAAACGGCAACATTCGACTCGTTTGAACGGATCGTGTCAACGAGCCGATTCACCTGAATGACTCGTATGTTTTGTAATAGGCATTCCGATTCGTTTAAGGGATTCGGTTCTTTCCAGATATAAAGTGCGTGTGAAATCTAAACGGGGCTTTCTTTCAGAGCTTTCCTGTGTCTTTAGTGCTGAGGACAGCAGTATGATAATGTATAGCTATTCTCAGTTCTAATGCTATAGTCTGTCAAAAAAAAAAGAATCATTTTAAGTGGAAAAGAAATCCACTTGGGTTTCGTCTTGAGCCACACCGCAGCACCACGTCGTTGATTCTTTTCCTTGAAGTGCACTCCATCAAGTGTTTCGTTCCTTACGTAAATGGACTCAACTTTTCAGATCGAGTTCAGCGGAAGCACCGATCCCCTGCTGATTCGGGACCACTCGAATGCAAGTCACATTTTCCACAGATTTTGTTGGGAAAAAATCCGTGGAAGCGTTCAAGGTTAAACGATCGTGCACGAATCCAGAAAGAACTAGCGCACGAGTCTTAATCGCACGCTACAGCGTTCTAGAAAACATCGAATTGGATGCATAACATCCACAAATGTAAAATGATTTAAATGAATCATTTGCGTATGAATTGTGATTTGTTGAAATTAAAAGCAAAACGTGTTCATTCCTCCATCACCCCGTGCACGAACCCAGACAAAGCTTCAGCTAGTGCACAAGCCTTGTTATAGAAAACCTCCAATCGCATGCATAACATCCACAAATGTAAAATGATTCAAATGAATCGTTTGCGTATGAATTATGATTCGTTACAGATTCAGTGAAAATTTTTTTTTTTTTAAACGTTGTCATTCCTCCATCACCCCGTAAAACATCCAGCGTCTTGACTCCCAGCGTTTTCACACTGTGTATTATATATGTATTTTATTTAAACTCTTATTCCCTAGATGGCTTTCCATTCACGATACATGCTCACTACATGGGGTGTAACATGGTGACTCTGCAGGCCCTCACTAGTGTCATTTTAGCCAATAAAAAAACCTGCTTTGATAAGACGTATGTTCTGCGATTAAATGTAAGGTCTTAAAGATTTTTGTGCGGATTAATATTTACAATGCAACATTGTATCGTTTGTATGGTTTTGTATCGTTTGTATGGTTAAAAAAACTCTTAACTGAAATAGTTACTATGGGAACAGTCCTGTGTGTAACGCCACTTTAAAAATAAATAAATAAATAAATAAAAAATTTGTTATTATTAGGCTTACATACATAAAAGTGCATACAAATCCCAACTGGCAATAATTACGTCTCCCTTTATATTCATTTTTTAAAAAATCCGTTTATAGTTATAATTAGGCTTAATGTCGCGTAGCGTCCGGGAACCAAATCGTTTCCTGTTATTATGAACACTGTCTCACCAGCACCACCTTGAAATGAATAGGACCTCTTCGAATGAATCCGCGCCTTCTGACCAATCAGAACGGAGAATTCGGGTGTAAAAACAGCTGTTAATGAAATATTTTGTTGTTGCGCAAGTCCTAAAAGCCAACGGCGTCACCGGTTCCACTGCAGGCTTTATTGTCCTCGCAGGTGTGTCAGTATCAGTGCCGTGCTGAGACTATTACATCATCCTGTTTTGCTTTGCAAACCTTTCCCTCCGACATCTACAGCAAACAACCTTCACACACATCCAAAGAAACAGCGCTCTCTCTCTCTCTCTCTCTCTCTCTCTCTCTCTCTCTCTCTCTCTCTCTCACACACACACACACACACCCACACACCCTGTAGCAGACTCCATTAACTGCGACGTGAAGCTTTGATTTTTGTCTTTAATCTGTCAGTGTGCCAGGAAGTCTTTCTTTTTTATTATCATTTTTTTATTTATTTATTTTTCTCTTTTCTTTTCTTTTCTTTTCTTTTCTCCCCTCTGTAATCAGTGCTGGCTTAAAAACAAAACCGAAGGTGTACGAAGGTGTGTCTTTTTTTTTTTTTTTTTTCTTTTTTTTTTTTTACCTCTCGTTCTGATTTTCCCTCCAGGTGAAAGAGCTATGTTTAGAAGCGTGCAAACTCCGGCTGAACTTTGCAGCAAAGGCGAAGTGGCCTGTTACGCAGGTTTTCGTAATATTTAATGAATGTGAATAAATATAACTTATGAAGATCCTTCGAAGATGCGGAACGGGTGTCGTAATTTTTCTGCACGTTGTGGTTTGGCTTTTACTCTGTACGTAGCACGTGTATGAGCAAGGATTAACTGTTGTGTTCTCTCTCTCTCTCTCTCTCTCTCTCTCTCTCTCTCTCTCTGTTGTGTGTGTGTGTGTGTGTGTGTGTGTGTGTGTAGAGTGATGCAGGTGGATCGTCGTTGGACGGAGGTTTTTAATGGGTCTGTGCGCGAGTCCGTACGCCGAGGAGAAGAGACGTCGGATCCCATGAAGAGTTCGTACCTCTCTGTCGCTCCCTCCGCACCACGATCACAGCCACTGGCGATCAGGAACAGCTACAGGTTATTACTTAAGTGCAGTTTCTGTCCTTCCGCTTTTCTTATCCTAATCCGTTTGATCCCAGCAGGGATCGGAATGCACACATTCACAGAAATCAATCAGTCCGCACAGATTATTCATAAAAACGCTTTTTCTTTTGATCTTTGTTTTCCAGCTCCAGAGGAGAGTTCAGGCCTTCATCGATGCCGTCCATTCCCAACCCGTTCCCCGAGCTGTGCAGTCCGTCGCACTCTCCGGTCCGGGTTGGCTCGCTGGTGGGACGCGCCACGCCGACCGACGAAGACACGCACGTAAGTTAAAGCGCCTGTCTAGTAAGCAGGAGATCCTGGGTTCAAATCCCAGAGGCGTCTGATGCAGGACTCTGTTTGTTTCAGGAGCAATGTCTGCGATCCCTTTTCGCTTGTATTTTTCTCATTTGTAAGTCGCTTTGGATAAAAGCGTCCGCTAAGTGAATAAACGTAAAGGTAAGCACGGCCTCGGTTTCGACCTCGCGCTGCTTTTTAATAACGCGCGATAATCTTCCTCATTATCGTAGGCGATTAATTCGCTTGTTAATTCTCACAGCTCAATAGTAAAAGGATTAGCGTGTTGTTTTTTTTTTTTGTTTGGACATTGGACCGATTTTAAAAAAAGAATCGGATTAACGCTGCAGTAATCCGGACCGGAGCCCACTAATAACTTGCGAGTCGTCGTTATTAACGGAGTTGACTTTGGACTCCATTTTGAGTGTTGAGTATGTTGACGTTAATGGAAAGGGCAGAGGAGCGGTGTAGCGGCCAGTGGTAATAAACAAAAGCAGGTCGGTTTAGCCAATGGGTGTAGCTATTAGATGTTCCTAATAAATAACCTGCATACATTATTTCCAGTGGGATTTATATAAAAAATTATCATTTTCCTTTCGAAATTTATGAAGTCCTCTATGAAATGACGAAGGAGGGGATTAATAATGAATGTACCTCATGTCTTTAGTATCGGATGACGGTTGCATAAGCACCTCGCTGGTTGACCTGTTCGGAAGAATAAACGTAATCCTTAAAGAAATCGAACGTTCCTGAAGGACAGTTAATCACTGGTTGGTGTTTCATGGCAGTACTCCAAGAAACAGGCAGGGCGTTCCGGGCAACACGATCGGGAAGGGAGCTGGATGTTCTGTTTTGTGTGTATTGTGCCTACACTCTCTTAATTATCAAGATCACATGACGCTCCACAAAAGAGTAATATTGAAAATAAATAAATAAATCCCTGGCATGTCGCCATTGATGCGCTGATGTTTATTTTGGTCTCTTATGTCAGCGCTTTGTAACAGCGGTCCTGAGAACGCGGAACGTCCTCAGTAATGTTTATTTTTGCCGTTTCTTTCGATTCCGAGTCACTAAGTAAGAGAACGTTACGACTTTTCCCAGTGAACACGTTGGCGGTTTTTAATAATAAAGCTCTCCCTAAATCTGAAGCGGGAGTAGTGATGGTAAACCCGCACATGACCTGTAGCTAGTAACGCAGGCTAGCTAACGTTTATTTTTAAGTACACACACGCGCGCACACGAAGCATCAAAACGTAAACCATGTTCTGCTTTAAAGATTTCAGTACATGAAGAAGCCAGCGCCAAAAAGAACAAAAAACGACTGGACAAAACGTGCTTTCTCGTGGAGACCGGAACGTTCCACAATTCTTTCATGATGATGAAAGCAGACGTTTTGGCTGATCGTCAAAGAGCGTTTTGGCTCGTCGCGGTTGGAGATCAAAACGTCGCCGTGTTGTGATTTGTGGTTATAAGCTCATTATACTACATAGTAGCTGAAGTCAGGAAAGTGACGTGTGTGTGTGTGTGTGTGTGTGTGTGTGTGTGGTTGGCATGCATATTTGTTTTGTCTGCTTGTCCCCGTGTTTCCCCTGTGAACCTGCTGACGGACTGCGTTTGACTGTTCACTGGTACTGGTTCGTCAGGTTTTTGGTTGACGAGTTCAGTCCTCTTTCTCTTCCTCTGTCTTTTTCTTTTTTTTTTTCTTTCTTCTTCTTTTCCATCAATAGTCAACACAGCAAACTGCATTTTTCGAACCACATGTATAGTGTATATAATGCTGTGTATATAACCGTTCAGCCGTTTAAAAAAACAAAACCAAACGAACAAGCTTTAGTAAATGCCTTTTGCACACTCCGGAGCTGATTTAAAATTTTTTTTTATTATTATTTTCCTAGAAGAAGCGTTTTTATTATGTTCAGTTATCCAATTGATGCTACAAGACTATGTAGCCTAGATTAGGAGTTTCGTAAGCGGCGGCATGTCCGCGTCGAATAATCGTTCCAGCGAAAGACTCAAAACTATCCGTTCTGTGCCCAGTTCAGTAACCGTTTCTTTTCTCCGTGCACTGAAAGACTTAAAGACAGTAAATCTCTCGTTCTCTCGTTCTCAATCCTTCTTTTGTGCCTTCGTCACTTGTACATCTTCTTCTTGCACTACTTCTTACCAGGAAGTAAGGTGGTTTCTTTTTCTTTTTTGTTTTTTTTGTGCATTTTATCATTTGTTATTTTATGAGTCAAAGTGACAGTTCAGTGCGAGTCGTGATTCATGCCAAGTGTTCTTAAAGAATGTTTTTTTTTTTTTTTTGTGTGTCTGTGTAGGTGGTAAGGGTGTTCGGCGAGGGCACGCACAGCCGCTCGGTGGTCGTGTCGTCCGCGGCAACAGCGCGCGACGTGTGCCACATTCTGGTCGAGTCGACTCACTGTACGGACGAAGAGAACTGGGCTCTCCTCGAGCAGCACCCTTCGCTAGGGCTCGGTAAGACACCAGCGTGTAGGGCGCTCGGAACAGATCTAGTCCCGCCGTCTACGTTCCTATATCGCGGCGCGTCGCGATCTGACACGGCGTCCTCGTTCGAGACGTTGATGTCTTGTTTGTGGTTTTGTCATTTCAAGAGCGCTGCCTCGAGGACCACGAAGTGGTGTCGAAGGCGCAGTCCTCCTGGCCACCAGACGGCGACACCAAGCTGCTCTTCCGCAAGAACTACGCCAAGTACGAGTTCTTCAGAAAGCCAGCGGTATGACCCCCGCACTGTTGTTGTTGTTGTTGTTGTTGGAATCCTTTTTGAAATCGTTCGTTGCATTAGTCATCACTTTAAAGCATTCGTGGTTTCAGTGAACGCGCTTGTTTTCTTTTAGCAATATTTCCCGGAGAACATGATTTCCGACTGCACCGACGTCAAGACAGGAATGACTCCGTCGCAGCTTGTGCAGGTATTTGCATGAAATATAAACGTCTTTTTAAATCTCACGCCCAAGCGCTGTTCCGTCTCTTGGTTCGTTTTGATAAACCCCCACCCCTTCTCTTCTCTTTGCCCCCCCCCCCCCCCCCTTGTTGTTTTGTAGAGCATGCTGAAGTGCGGCTCGTGTCCAGAGATTCAGGGCTACCTGCATGTACGCGAAGCAGGAAAGAAGTCTTGGAAGAAAACGTACTTCATTTTGCGACGATCTGGACTTTACTGCTCCACTAAGGGCTCGTCTAAGGTCTGAGAAATCTCTCTCTCTCTCTCTCTCTCTCTCTCTCTCTCATCTATACACTTGAACACATGTATGTAACGTTGTCATGACTGCTATTAATAGGTAATCTGTGCCCTAAGACAAACGGTGTATCAAGTAGGAGTGTTTTTTTGTGTGGGGGAGTGTAGGAGCCTCGACACCTTCAGTGTGTAGCTGATCTCGAGGACGTCAGCGTGTATACCGTCAGCAACAGTCGGAAACTCTACAGCTCACCTAAAGGACACACTTTCTGCATGAAGGTAGCAACGCCGATCGCTTCCGCCTGGTCGAATTCCCAGTTCTGATTGCTGTTGATTTTAAATAAATAAAATAAAATCCTCGAACACAGTTTTAATACTGTTGCTTTTTATTTTTGTTTTTTTTTCTTCGTACCGTCTCGCTGACTTGACGTGTCATTGTTGTGCGTTTCAGACTAACCGAGGCAGGTTTCACTCTCAGGAGCTTAAACTGTTGTGTGCGGACAGTGAACAAAGTAAAACCTGCTGGGTTACGGCCTTCAGACTGTTTAAGGTGCACACGTACACACACACACACACACACACACACACACACACACACACACACACACACACAACACTGTGCGCATGGAAACTCCATACATTGCTTGACTTCTGTGTTTAAATATAACACTGCATTTCAGCGCCCCCTAGTGGTAACCTCTTATTTATTTATTTTTTTTGTCATGTTAGTGGTGCTGTATATAGTACTGGATCGTTTTCTGTGCTGAATTCATCAGCCAGGCCTAATAAAGACGTCATACACAAATGTTTAATGTTAAAACTTGGTCATTCAATATATATATTTAAAAAAAAAAAAAAAGCTTTTGTTGCTACAACAATGCTAATTTCCTAGTAACTGCTGGATTAACACTATTGTATAACACTAACAGGCTAATAAAGCACAAACAGCAGCTTGTAGAACCTTCTAGAAAGCAAGAAGTTCGTCATGTAGTACATGAGTGTGCTATATATAGTTTCGAACCTGTGTGTTACAGTATGGGAAGCAGCTTCAGTGTAATTACTTGCTGGCGCAGGCGAATCCTAACCTACAGATCCCCCCACGAAATAACGCCAAGGTCTGTGTCCACACACACACACACACACACACACACTATTCTCATGCATGTATTCTTATGGCTCATATATTTTTTTGTGTTCCCTCCACGTTTCATGGATCATGTCTCCTCTTCCACTCGTCCGATTTGAACTGCTCCATTTCTGTGGCGCTCAGCACGCAGACGGAGAAGAGTCGATGGTAGCTATGGATTTCTCGGGGAAGAGCGGCGGCCGAGTGATCCTCAACCCGCGAGAGGCCGAGAGCGCAGAGCAGGAGGAGGGATATAACTGGAGGGTGTGTATGTGTGTGTGTGTGTGTGATACGGTTTAGCTAAATTGGACCAGGCTAATGTCTACACAGGACCATGATTGTAGTTCTACTTCGATGAGTACGTTTTCAGGTATTTGAGATGAAACGGTATGATTTATGTCTCATGGGGTCGTCCACTTGTTTGGTTAAGAAAGGTGCTCGAATATTCTGCCAATTCCCACCCTCTTACTTCCGTAAGTCAGTCAGCCAAGACGCAACCGGCATCCAAAGTCGCGTTGCTTCTTCGCTCCAGACAAGTTCTGGCAGTGTGCCAGACCTCAAAGGCCTTTTGATGTCTTCATTTCTAGCCTAATGTTTACAGTGTAACTCTTACACGGCTGCTTATCATCTTGTACTGTCACACTCCCAAGCATGCTGTATGTGCAAACACCGTTTGAAGTGTGTTGTGTGTGTGTGTGTGTGTGTGTGTTTCAGAAAAGAGAGGCGCTGC